ATGTCAATGATTTTATCATTGACTTTACCCGAAAGCATAAAATTAATTAAATCTAAAAATTTAAAAGCGACTGGCCGACGGCGCCACAGCTGCCACTAGTTAGATCTTTAAGGGGCTGTGGAGTTAGGCTATCAAGCCCGCCAGCAGAACCACTCTGAAAAGACGCAAGAGCATTAGCAACATCCTCTATGGTCGCCTCTATGGCTTGTTCAGAGCTGGGAGGTTCAGGAAAAAATATGTTTGATGACGGATCTGGGTGTTTACTTTCGAGAGCTTGCAAAGTATCGGAGGTATCAGGTGCTATTACATCAGTTGAAAACAAAAGTTTTGCAGCACCCCTTATATCACCATCACCAAGTCTAGTTTCAACTTTTCTAAAAAATGTGGTCTCAGAGTGGGATTTTTTGGTTGACAAAATGAATGAATCGCTATTGAAATCATTGCTAGAGATATATGTGTTATTACTACAATTATCTTTGATTGTTTGTGTTATAGTCGTTTTAATATTTTTGTTAGGCCTAATGTGTAAAATTCTGTATGGAAAAAGAAGGAGATGCTCCCAGGCCGAAACAGAATTCTGTACTATAACGTTTTCGATCAAATTTGATAACGATTGTGATGCTGCAATCCTTGCACCACGGGGAATTCGTTTAAGAACTGGAACGTTCTTTTTTAATTCTGAAATGTTTTCCCAAAAAGGTTTATCTGATTGTGACAGAGAAGTTATAGGGTGTGAAGGAGGAATTATGGTATGATTTGAGGAAGGGTTACAGGAATGAGATATTAAGTGATCATTTTTTGGGTGTTTTCGACTGATATGTATTTTGAGACCACGATTTCCTTTAAAAAGCCTGACTTGGGGACATTTTGGACATTGCAAAAAATTATCCTGAGATGTAGAAGCACCCGCAAACTCTGACGAAGAAGAGCTGCCGTCTAACTGAGGGCACCTATCCATACAGATCTTTTTACAATAAACATACTACCCATTTAAAATAGATAAAAAAGTAAACTTATACAAATAATATATATAGTATGCTATATTTAGAGTATAGTAGCTATATCTAGAATGTATATAAATAGTTAGCTCAACAGACGTTAGTCCGCCCTCGTAAAAAAATAATATTAATAATAGAAATGTGGGGCTTTCCTTTAAATCTGTTCCTAGTGAGCGTTCATGACTTGAAATGAACAACGATGCTCAGTTTCAATTCAATCGGACATAAATCTTCTGAGGTCTTGTGATGAGTGAGCCAGTGGTATCCCGCTTACATATGTACCGCGCCACGTCGACCAGTGTCCTCTTCTCGTCCGGGGATTATGAGGAGGATCTTGAAGAACTCACTCAAATAGGTTAAATATATATACTTTTAAGTAATATTAACTAACATTGTTATTATCCAGCCTAATCATAGATGGCGCCAACAACATCATTGCATAACAATTACAATACTTAATTAAATTATTAGTACTGTTAATTATAATATAAATTATTATTAATATTTATGCTTTATTCATATTTAATCATTTATACAGTCATTTGTGCTTTTAAACAATAATATAAACATTAAACATATTCTGAACATTTTCACATCAAAACAGTGTCTGCTAATTATTAAATATGGTTGAATAACAAATAATAAATAAATATTAACATAGAATAAACTAAACTATATATTATTATGTTAATTATTGCCAATGGTGGCGTTTGCGCCCATATAGGCGTAGTGGGGGTGTCAGGTTATTTTCGTTACGGAATTTCTTGATTCAGTCGCCGTGCTCAAGGCCCGCGATAGAAGCTATGCAATAGCTTAAAATTTGTGTTATTAAACTTAAAGCGGCAGTAACTAAGCAGTGATTCTCGTCGCAGACTCCGCCATGAATTAGCACGCGAGCTCTCTTCAAACCTTTAATTCGTAGGCCCCTTAGGCTCCCAGCGAATAGGTACGGGAAAAAAATAAACAATAACGATTATTTCTAATCTATGTATGATGCAAGATTTGTATAACAGCTAGCTCTATTGCTTTCTTAATTACCAAATCGAATAGATACAGTGGAGCAGCTAAAGAAAAGAAGTCCATGTCGCATTGCGGCCCGTATTGTCTCTTTTTTAAATCAATCAAATTGTTAAAAAATATATTTAATGTTTTAATTTTTAAAAGAAATTAAAAGTGTAAGGTTTTTCTTTTCATTAATAGCATTGTTAGCGGCCATAGCCTATCGGAAAGTCACGTTTAAGACAATCACAACATTCCATGCGTTTACAGAATATTTGAGAGAGTTGATTATGGAGGACAAACAAACGAAAACACTAGAGTTTACATTCTTAATTGTTAAAGAATTGTAAATGGCCGTCTCATCGTGTCATCACGTAACGTGACATAAATGCGGAACACATTATTATTTTCCGCCTTTTATTCTGTCGGCTGTCCCTTCTCATCTGAAAAATACAAAAAATGTCACACCGCGAGCGGCATCAATCGTTATAGTTAATGATATGCCTTTGTCTTTTGTTCAGCGGATGATTGCGACATTTCATTATCCATATATTTTTACGGCTTTACAATTTCATGTACTATTCAGATGTTCGAGCTCCTATTGTATTTGTTCTTATAATTTTTATCTTTGTAGTTGTAGAAATATCCCTCACATGCCGTTCCGAACAGAATCCACGAGGGTTTAATCGTATTTTAACCGCGACACAAATACACGTTTGAAGAACATGACGATCGCTACTTGCATTCAACATTTTGACCTAATCGTTCAAAACGGTGGAGGCCTTTACCATAATAAATAATTTTTTTAGCAATGAAGGGTTACTGGTGGCCCCAAGGCCTTTCCAGTTTTACCAGGATAGGTGGGCGAGCACAAGTTCAGCCAGAAGCGGTAAGATTTGCTTACAGCTGCCCGAGCACCTCCGAAGGATACCTAACGGCTCAAGGGCAGCTGCTTCACGAATGCATCTACTACCGGACTAGACTCGCGACCTGTTGAGAAGATCCGGCGAAAAACACAGCGGCCTGATGTTTAGGTTAGGTTGCACGTAGAACTCTTTGCCGAGTTCGACGAGTACGGTTACCAAGGTTCCTAAACTTGCTAGTGGTAGAGCTGCATGCGTCTAATAATAGCCTCGACGGTGACTGACTCATGCGTGAGCTGGAGTCGGGGAGTAGAGGGTAATCGGGGCTGTGAAATTAGTTACTACCGTATCCGATTTGAGAGCCCAAACTAAGAGCTAGTAAGATCGTTAGTAAGGTGCGAGTTCTTCTAAGAAACTAGGCTACCTGGCATCTCTGACTTCGGCAATGCTATATTTGATATCGTGTTGTAGGACACGCATTCGAATACGGTTTTCCTCGGTAGGACACCTAATATAAGTCCGGACCAAGGCGTTGTTGGCTCTAAGGAGTTCTTTAACATCGTCGAGCAATTTAAAGCGGTGAAGGAAGTCGACTACGCCTACTACTACCGCTACGACTTGCTTCGGTGACTTATGTCAATTTTTTTATTGCTTAGATGAGTGGACGAGCTCGCAGCCCACCTGGTGTTAAGTGGTTACTGGAGCCCATAGACATCTACAACGTAAATGCGCCACCCACTTTGAGATATAAGTTCTAAAGGTCTCAAGTATAGTTACAACGGCTGCCCCACCCTTCAAACCGAAACGCATTAATGCTTCACGGCAGAAATAGGCAGGGTGGTGGTGGTACCTACCCACGCGGACTGACAAGAGGTCCTACTACCAGTAGAATATCGATGAGATGTGTGATGTTACTATGCCCATGGCTTGAGCGGTGTTCTGTGTGGACGGGGTAGAGTCCAGACTAAACGGGAGCGATGGTGAATCGAATTCAGCCAGGCTTTTGCCCAGCGTGTGCCAATCAACCACAGTTATCATGACTGGTTCAAAATCGGAAGCGCAAACGAGCTGCATAACGACGGATCTATGGTCTGAGTCTAACCCTAAAACTACTTCGATCGGACGTATGCGCGGAGTTACGTTTTTTAATAATGCTATGTCGAGTATATCCGAGCGACACGCGATATTTAGCGGGTAGTGAGTCGGTGTTAGCGGAGCGACGATATCGAAGGCTAGATCGTTGACTAACACGCCGAGGCGTCTACCCTTAGAGGTTGTTGTGTTTTGTGTTACAAAGCGAGTTCCCTCTCTGGAATAAAAACGACATCAATAACCAGTGTTTTATTCTGAGGTGCTGTGTACTACTTACATAACGAATCGTGTTTAGGAGAGTTTTTTAACTTCACCGATGGTGTAAAAGTTATTAGAAAAAATATAAGACACTACCCTTCGCAAACTATTTCAAAAGACGGTCCATTTAGTCAAGATTCAAAGTAGTACAACACTTGCCACTTTTCTTGGCTTTAAAAACGCTACTTCGTACTACCGCAAAAGGATCTCTCCTAAAAAAAAATATCTAACACTCTTTTGTATAAATATATCGGCGTCTTCATTGTCTGTAATGAACAAAAGCTTATGGGTCATTCATAATATTTAGTACATATATTATCAATCGGAATTTCAAACGGACAAATAATTGGGCCCTTTGAGCGGACTCTAAATGTAATTGATGGCGGCTTTATTGCACTAACTTCAAAACGATTTGCCAAATTTCATAAACGAAAATGTACATATCTACAGAGAAATATGATTAAACGGTTGCCCAGCTCTGTCGGTGCGCGATTATTTGAACGATGAATATCCCGAGAGATGGACGGACTTGGTTCAATTATATTTCTGCCTCATTCCACCGGTCTCAATCTAGTACATTTTGTATTTGTGGTGGAGGCGAGAGAGAGAACAGTTCGAGCATTCACTTGATTTTTAAGAATGCGAAATTAAATAATTTAATTGAAAATAAATAAAAGTCTGTAGGTCGTATATTTTAAATACGGCCCACAGAAAAGACAACGAATCGCAAATATTTACATTAAGTTGACTATTAATTGAATCAAATATTTACTGAGGCTCGAAATTCCAGGGCTGAGAGATCTCGGTTGTAACGAATTAGTTCTCAGAAGAGCTCGGCATGTCATAGGAGAAATTCAGAGAACGGTGGAAGCTGCCAGCAAATTGACCGAGAAGAATTACAAAACGGTAAGAACTCAATGTGAGGCGTTTGAACATTAACAATTCCCATTATTTTATCTTCTAGTTACAACTTGCCTCATTTTATAATAGTGTTTTTTTTTTTAGTGCTTAGATGAGTGGACGAGCTCACAGCCCACCTGGTGCTAAGTGATTACTGGAGCCCATAGACATTTGTGAGACAGTGTGTTAAATATGCTGTATCTTTCTGGGAACCAACCAAATATAATTAAACTTTGTGAGCTGAGTTTAATCTATATATGAATAATACGTGAAGCAAAAACCTTGTACCCCTTTTTACGAAAATTGCGCGGACGGAGGAGTATAAAATTTCCCACACTTATAGAGAATATAGAGATGGAGTGCAGAATGTAAATATTTTTGTTTTAAATTATGCATTAAAAAGACATTAAATCAATAAATAAACATTACACATATTATTTGTTTAAAGGGTAGTCTTGGCGATATCTGTGATTACAGAAATTTATTCTTTGAAAATAAAACCATAATAATGTAATTTCAATTAATTATAGTCGAATTTCGACTACGGGGGGACCACTAGTTCAAATTAATTGTCATTCGTTATTTTCCGTATATTCTTTGTGTGATGATTAGGTATGTGTGTGATGCCCATAGACATCACAACTTGCATGCCACCACCGAGATCCGCAGTCAATCTTCAACAATTTTACTAATAAAGTAATCGCAAAGCCCAAGGAACTTACAATTTATATTCATTAATACGCTTTTATTAGCTTCATACATACATATAGTTAGTATGTAACGGAATCTTTGAACATGATTTTGACCGCCTTCAAAACGTCGGATTAACTCGAAATTCGGTTAAAACCCCAATCGTATTAGAATACTAGCCGTACTCACCCGCTTCGCTGGGCATCTAAAATTGACATTATTATTTATTGTTATTATTATTAGGGAGTCCAACACTCATATAAATATTAGCCTATCCATTAAGTACATGTATTTTCTACAAGGATACCAAGTTTCAAGTCAATCGGATGCATGGTCCAGTAGTTATAACGGAACATCCGTAAAAACCACTGTAGATTTATATATTAGTATAGAAGAGTCGTCTTGTACTTTAAAGAGCAACGCAAAATAGTTTCGTGGTAGATGAATGTTAAGATATTGATCAGGATTTTGGGAATTCGTTATGCGGGAACCCTAATTCACAATGGCTAACCTACTCTGTAAGTTGAGATGCACGATTTCTTCGACTTTTAACTTACGATATGTTCACCATATGCACATTTTTTTTAGGTAGGTGAACTTTTTTACCAATCGCATGACTCGCTAAGCAAATTGATGGAGGTATCCTGCGTGGAGCTCGATCAGATAGTGAACATCCTCCGGGATGCTCCAGGAGTGTATGGCGCGAGAATGACGGGAGGTGGCTTCGGCGGATGTGCGGTGGCTTTGGTAAGTACCAGAACTGAATCAAGCTAACAAGATCTTTAGCTAACAAGGTAGTGATGTGGCGGTAGCTATCATACAACGCAAGATATTTGACAGATGCCTGAATCTCGCTTATGACATTTTCAAGTTAAGCTCGCATATATACAAGTTCCGAAAAACAACATTCGGCCATTCCCGATACTGCGGAAAGAATGGAAAGCAGTCGACATCGCCCCAAACACGTCATTTCGGATCCTCCCGATCCACTAACGGTGCTTTTAGGTACCTCAAGCACCGGTCACCGTTCTCGTCGAACCCGTCGCTTGCGACGAAGGGCTCGACCAGTAAATTAACCCTCAGACACAGCCTGAGTTTCTCGCCGGATCTTTTCAGTGGGTCGCGTTTCCGATCCGGTGGTAGATTCTGCGAAGCACGGCTCTTGCTAGGGTTCGTGTTAGCAACTTCGTCAGGTTTGAGCCCCATGAGCTCACCTACTAGTTAAGGTTCCGCTGAAATAGCCTCTCAAGGCTATCAGCTTAGGTAGGAAAAAAAAAACATCATTCGGACCGTCGGTCTACCGAGCAAATATCACCCGCACGGTGGAAGATCTTCCCTTTGTCGTATACCTACATTCATAAAATTATAAATAATGAATTCGTTTACTAGACTCCAGTTCGGAGGCGTTCGGGAAGATGTTAGCAGATAGGGGGTCGGAGGAGGGCGTTTGTCTAGCTCCGGCCCCTATGAGGAGGCAGTCTCCTCCTGGTGATGGTCACGGGGCGACCTAAGGGGGTTGAGACTGCGCCGCACGCTACCGTCACTCTAGCGCGCTGGCACCAGGAGGACGGGACGACGCGTCGGCGGCTGCGGACTGCGATGCGGTCCGCATTTTCGTTGTCGCTGTCGTCGCCGAACATACTGTGGAAGAGCAACCCAGTCGGCGGTGTATCGCGTTCCGACCCGGCAGGCTGGTTCTGGCCCAGCGGGGTATCTCGGAACACCAGGCATCCGGGCGGTCTGGTAGGGCCGCCGTACCGCGGAGACTGACGTCGTTGGTCGTCGACTATCGCCTCGACGACCCGTCGGTCGGGCGTCCTCGGGGTGGCGCCGCGTGTCTGGTTGTAGTGTTGACCGCGGGAACCCCCCTACTCTGACCGGGTTTTGACCCCGGACGGAGATCGGACGCCGGGTGTAAGAGTGCAGGGGAGTCGTTTAGTNGCCTGGTAGGGCCGCCGTACCGCGGAGACTGACGTCGTTGGTCGTCGACTATCGCCTCGACGACCCGTCGGTCGGGCGTCCTCGGGGTGGCGCCGCGTGTCTGGTTGTAGTGTTGACCGCGGGAACCCCCCTACTCTGACCGGGTTTTGACCCCGGACGGAGATCGGACGCCGGGTGTAAGAGTGCAGGGGAGTCGTTTAGTGGGTGGCCCTAAATTCCTTGGGCCCGCGGTCTGCTCTCAACACCTGCAGATCGTTGAGTCTCACATACCCCGCGCGCCCCCTAGGCGCGGGGACCTCGAAGGAGGTTCGGCCCTCGGCCCGAAAAAAAAAAAAGAAAAGATGTTAGCAGATCCCACCTTGTTTGCCTGTACCTGCTGGAAGGGCTTCTAGGCTACCAGAAATGCCTTTATACTAGATTCGCAGTTTATTACTTTTTACTACTTTATTACTTTATATACTAGTTTGTACTAGTTAATTTATTGTTTTTTTTTATTATGTTCACACAACTGGATAAAATCTGCACACATAAACATTGAACTTATTTACATAAAATTATTATTACTTACGTTGTTTATTATTACTTAGATACTTATTACTTTACTATTACTATTTACTAGTTTATACTAGTTTAGTTTAGTCAAAGTTTCCACTTTCAGGCTTAGGACGAAATTAAGAGTTTTAAGCCCTTGCGGCATGAGGTCCAGGACTCAAATGCATTACGTTTGTCATATTTTCCCAAATGGAACGCCGTGGTCAGGAAATGCCGTGGAAGATGATTGCAGCTTTTTTTTTATTGCCTTTGTAGGTAGACGAGCATACGGCCCACCTGATGGTGAGTGGTTACCGTTGCCCGTGGACTTCAGCAATGCCAGGGGTAGAGCCAAGCCGCTGCCTACCGCTTGAACTACCGCTACCCGCGAGGCCTCATAATACAATCTGCCACAAGATAGAAGTTAACAGAAGCGAATAACATACCACATAAATAAACAATATCACCTATTCGATTTGAATTCTTTAGAAATTGGCCCAATCTTATGGCGAATTGTAAAAAATAGGCGAAAAATTGTCATAGAGTTTTGAGCTTGCCACACTGAAAACTTATTTACCAAAGCGCCTTTACAAACATCAAACCACATACAAATATAATAATACAAACGTAATATTATATTGGCTTTTACTGAAAACGCTTTATGTTATAGCCTGAATTTTCTTAAACGAAATTCTGATGTATTTAATCAATTAACTATGATTATTACAATACCCAGAAACCGCAGAAGTAAATAGAAGCCTTTATATGCAGCCATGAACGCGTTAATGAGAATTAACATAACGTAACGTAATTTCTAACCGACTTCAAAAAGGAGGAGGTTCTCAATTCGACTGTATGTTTTTTTTTTGGAACGAATTTCCTTATGGGACGATGCGGAGGGGTACCCTAACCGGGAAAAAACGTCCGTAACGTAAGATTTTTATTAGTAATGCACACAGTGTACGACAACTTTGTAATAACGTACAAATTAGTAATGCACACAGTGTACGACTTAATTTTGTAATAACGTACAAAAAATAACATATTTTTTTATCATTCATTGACCACGATCTCAGAGCGTTCGTTTGCGCAATACACTAACTCTTATGCAAACAACCGTGAATGAAGTGTACCACAATAAGTTCGCACGTTACCGAATGACCGTGGGTTGTTGCGAAACCTCCGGTTTTATTTTCTTTATACCTCGAATAGAAGTTAAAATTAATCTAATATATAAAATTCTCGTATTTTTATAATAAGGAACTTCGTTCCTATCCGGTGTCCCACAACACCACACATATTTTTTTATGTTTGTTACCTCATAACTTTTTACTGGGTGAATCGATTTTGATGATTCTTTTTTTATTAGAAAGCTGACGCTTCTCGTGTAGCCCCATTACAATTTAGTCCAGTTCCGATAATGGTATCCATGAGAAAACCATATAAGTCTTAAGCATTAAGTACGTGCGCGACAAATAGATGAATAACTCAATAACTCAATATCGCGCCAACCGATTTCGATGATTATTGTTTTTAGTGTATGTTAATTTGTTTTGGAATATCTTTTTTTCTTTTATTTCAAGTCGATTTTTGTTAAAGCATGTCTATTTACAATTATTATTAACGGCCGTCTGGTGTAGTGGTAAGTGACATGGTCACTACACAAGGGGGTCGCGGGTTCGAATCCCGCCAAGGGAAGATATTTGTATGATAAATATAAATGTCTTTTCCAGGGTTATGGATGTATATTAAATATGTGTATGTGTATAATAAAAATCTTATATTTATTTCCGTTATCTGGTACCTGTAACACAAGTTCTTTACGAACTTATCACGGGACCAGTTAATGTGGCGTGACTGTTAGTAAATATTTATTTATTTGTTATTTATTTATTATTATTATTAACTTTAATCGGCTATTAAACATCGATTACGTAAATAAATTCGATTTTATTTGTGGACTATTTATACTATTTATCGAGATTAAAGTTACTCTATGTTTCTTTCTATAAACCTAACATGAAATGACACCTAACAATTTTCATGACGGTTAGTTGAGTAGTTAAGACGTAGTCAAGCGTAACAAACAAACAAATACTCTGATAAAATTATTGTAGTAATATTAATTATCATGGATGTCTTTTCTTTCTAGGTTCAAAAGAGCGAATTGGATGCTTTGAAACAGCGGATTCTGTCGCAATATAAAGGAAAGCCAGTATTTTTCGTGTGCGTACCGAGCGAAGGCGCGAGATTGTTGAAACTTAACCACTGAAACCAGATTGTTAAAGTTCATAATAAATCAATCGTAAAAATATTGAATTTTTATTTGTGAATTCGTGTCGTTTGATTGAGTCAAAACTTTGTACAGCTCTTATTGGTGATTTAATTATAGTTCCTGACTTAGCTAGCTACTTTTATAGATGAGAATATTGCTACGCGTTGAAGTTCGGGATAAATTAATGTTCCACCAAAGTACAACTTAAAACTGTATTTATCACTTAGAACACACACAGAATACTTTAAAATTCTCAATTCGCTTTTTCCGCTTCAGGTGATCCTTCGCTGTTTCGCTTCGAGTAGTTCCGATTACGGACTGACTGCGTGCCATCTCTGAAACGCTTCTATAGTCGAGACGAAATCCCTAGAATCGTCGAGAACATTCCTCACAAGTCGAGTACCCTCGATGTGTTTTTCCGTTATCTGACAATAGATAGCATTGTACTCCTCGAGCGTTCTAGATGTTACGAGAACCTTCGATATTCATTCGACTATTCGGCGATAGATGGCGTTACTCTTACCGGCGTAACAATAGTTTATACAGAGTGTACGACAAATGTTGTCATAGTCGAAACATACGAAGTCGTACATAAACTTCTCTAACTTTAAATGTGAATCGCAAAGTAAATCACGATAAATCTTTCACATTGCTTAGATGGATGGACAATGGCGGATCCAGGGGGGGGGTCATGGGGGTCATGACCACCCCCTGAGCTGGTTCCAGGCCTTAGGTGGACCACTAATTGAATATAATGATTTTATTTATATATTTTGTCACCATACAGATTACTAACAAAAGTAACTACATACCTTCAATATTTAAATAATTTAATATAATATAATAACTTTGTATAATGGCAAAGGTTTGGGAACGAACGCATCTAAATTTGACTATGTGACCCCCTCCTGGCGCCAAAGCTGGATCCGCCCTTGTGGATGGACTAGCTCACGGTCCATCTGTGGTTACTGGAGCTCATAGACACAAAAATAAATGCTGCCACCCACATTAAGAGAGGAGTTCTAGCTCTCAGTTTTACAGTATAATGACTAACCCTTAAGCCCAAACGAATAACCGCTGCACGGCAGAAATAGGCAGGGTGGTGGTACGTAACCGTGTGGGCTCACAAGACGTCCTACCATCCATCATAACAATTTTTCGACTTTGAGAGTTTTAGTGAAGTCACTGATCAATTGCCAAAAATACAAGAAAAATAGTACTGGTAAAACGGGCTGATTAGGGACAAATTCCAACTTGGTGAACAATTTTAAGGTAGTTGTTAATGTATACTTAGTCTGGCCATAAATACTGTTACAATTTAAAAAAAAATCTATTGCAAATAACATTTATTACTTTTACAGTGTGTTAGTTTAATACATAAATATAAAACAATTTAAAAAATTAATAGCTTATTCGAAGTGGTCTCTCTCCATTGGCTGCAATACAGTCCTTTAAACGTTGAGGCCAGTTATCAATAGAAGCACGCACTCTTTCCATGGGAAAATTTTTCACTGCCAATCGTACGCATTGTTTTAGGGACTCCAAATTATCATGGCGTTTAGAGCAAGCCGTACTCTCTAAAACTGACCATAAATGGGAAGCTTCCTTAGAGCTTTGAGCATAAATACGGTCATTTTGTTTGTTAAAATGATGCTCAATTGTAAAAATTTTGTCATCCGTAAACAAACATTTTCTATGACCTCCCTTTGCGTACCGCTTCAGTAGTTGTTTCGATTTTACCACCCTATTCTCTTTTAAATTATCAGTCAAGAAATGACCAGTACGTCTCTTATAGGCTGCAAGTCCTAAGTCATCTTTTAAAAAAACGCGACATGGTTCTAGGTGCTATCTTCATCTCCGGAGATAAAATCTTTTGCTTTCGGACAGGATTTCTTCGAATTCTTTCCTTTACTGCTTTGACCACCTTTTTCGTACGAACACTACGTGAACGGCCAGATCTTTTTCTGTTACACACAGAGGAGGTCTCATTGCACCTATTAATAGCCCGGCACACAAACATTTTACTAATACCAAGCGTATGGAGAGTTTTAAAAAAATGCATTTGGCTCCATACCTACTTTGTGTAATGCAATCACAGCGATTCGGTTCTCTTTATCACCCCACTCCATTTTAATATCGCAAAATATTGTACAATGTATTGGCGCCAAAATGAGAACTCAATGAGCAATCATAATATAAAAATGGCAGATTCCAAATTCAAATGTTATATTTTGTTTATTTTTAATTGTAACAGTATTTATGGCCAGACTAAGTATAATGCTATATCAGGATTAAAATGATTGAGTCTTGGGGGTATCTTTGTTATCCAATTTAAAACTATGCAATTAGCATTCCAGTTTAAGCAAAAAAAGCAAAAAGCGTTGATATCCCTATTTACCCGGAAATTTGGTTAATGGGGAGGAAATTAGTGTCAATAGAGAAATTTGCTAGGGCTGGCACTACTTCGTTTTAATTTATTTATTTATTTATTTAGTCGTACCAACAAAGTGTTCATCAATAAAAAACATTGAAAAACTGACAAAAGTACATGGCAGATATCATCTCAATTAGAGGTGCAATCGACATTGACAACAACAACAACAACAACAAATATATATATATATATATATATATGTCGGCGCAAATATGACTATTTACCTACTGATCATCAACTAATTACTCTGTGATAAGAAATTGATGTTAAACAGTTCCTTTTATTGTAATTTCAATACTTTAAAACGTGTTTGAAAAACGTGTAAACCCGCTCACGTGTTTGAAAAACGTGTAAACACGCTCACGTGTTTAAAACGTGTCAACACGCTCACGGGTACGAAGGCCCATAAATACGGCTGTGCTGTCTAGCACTGATGACACCCCCGATTACTCTTTTTAGACAAACCATACCCTGGGCCAGGAAGGTCAAGTACCTGGGCGTTAGCTTGGATGCATCGATGACATTCCGCCCGCATATAAAATCAGTCCGTGACCGTGCCGCGTTTATTCTCGGTAGACTCTACCCCATGATCTGTAAGCGGAGTAAAATGTCCCTTCGGAACAAGGTGACACTTTACAAAACTTGCATAAGGCCCGTCATGACTTACGCGAGTGTGGTGTTCGCTCACGCGGCCCGCACACACATAGACACCCTCCAATCCCTACAATCCCGCTTTTGCAGGTTAGCTGTCGGGGCTCCGTGGTTCGTGAGGAACGTTGACCTACACGACGACCTGGGCCTCGAATCAATTCGGAAATACATGAAGTCAGCGTCGGAACGATACTTCGATAAGGCTATGCGTCATGATAATCGCCTTATCGTTGCCGCCGCTGACTACTCCCCGAATCCTGATCATGCAGGAGCCAGTCACCGTCGACGCCCTAGACACGTCCTTACGGATCCATCAGATCCAATAACCTTTGCATTAGA